ATCACATGAATTGCATATCCGAATTGGGGATTATGTGTCACGGCTATGCCACGGGAATCGTACTCATAGCCAGTGTTATCAAAGACGAAAAGCGCAAAAAAGCTCTAAGGTCCGTTGGGGCTTTAAGCACAAAGCACAAATAAAGCATGGACTTTAATGAGAAAAGGCGCAACTGGAGAAAAAGTAAAAAATATATATATGTAGTCCAAGACAAATTATTATAAGCATGAATAACAAATATATGGACAAAAAAATTGAAAAAAAAATTATGATAAAGTGAAATATCAATTGTTTAATATCGTCTTTTCATGATTACACTCATTGGCAAGGAGTAGCATACCTTAGAGCCTTGATGCTATACTAAAGCGCTCACAAAGCGATACGAAGCGCTCAACATGTTTTGAGCTTCACTTCAGAGCTTAAGCGCGCTTAAAGCACGGCATTGACAATACTGCTCATAACCGTGATGATCTAATTATGCGCTTAAAGCAAACTACGATGTTCATGAGTTTAAATATCTTCCTAAGGTTTAAGATTACATGTGGAGGTCTGGACTTATGGAGTTATTTGTGTCCAACTCATCCTCACAATTCACAGGTAAAGCTATCACCGAATTCACTACCAAGGAAATTATCTAATCAAGAAGCATGAATATTAAATCCTAAAGTATTAACTAGAAATAACATACATTCTTCCTTTAAATAAACATGAGTAAACATTTAGATGCACTAATGACATTCATGAGGAGAGTAACATCATTTAAAATCCATGTATCATTCCACATGTATCTAGTGTTGTTAAAGGCGCACTTAAACCTTAAAACGAGGCTCAAAACATATTGAGCGCTTCGCCTCGCTTTGTGGGCGTTTAGTATCGCATCAAAGCTTTAAGACATATTTTTCTTGTCGATGAACGTAATTTTGAAAAGTCGACCTAAAACAATTGATATGTTTCACTTTATCGTGAAGTTGTTTTCAATTTCTTTGTTCATATATTTGTTATTCATGCTTATAATGATTAGTCTTAGAAACTTTATACATATTTTTACTTTTTCTTCTATTGCGTTTTTTTTTATTAAAGCCCACACTTTATTTGTGCTTCTTTTCGCCTTTGATAACACTGGTAGGGAATCCTTTACTGTTTTTGGGATATGTATTTATTTGAGCTGACATTACTTGCGGAGTTTGTATTCTGATCCTGGAGGGGGGAACTTGTATTTGTATTAGGGATTGCGTCTGTAGTTCAACACAAATCGCAATCCCGATATGCGTTTAAAAATCACAATCCCGATATCCCAATCAAAAGTCGCAGTCAAAGATTGCATTTTCTCTATATACAAATTTTTTCCTTTTTTTCCAAAAGATTTTTTGAAAACAATGTTTGGTCATCCCTAGGGACGTACATGGATCGGGTTGGTTCGGGTTTTATCAAAATCAAATCAAACCCAACTATATCGATTTAGAGTGGTTCGGTTTTATTGGATTTTTCGAGTTTTTTGTTACTTAAATATTATTTCAATCTTATTATTTTGTTAAAAAAATTGTAAGTAAATATATGTTTAGTAAAAATATAAAAAATTAAGAAATATATTATCTATTAAAATATTCTTATGAGAGAATTTTCTTATTAACACATAATAGTTATTTTTTTAGTCATCTAACAAAATATTTCGTTGATGCATACTTTAAATGTTAACCGAATTTAGTAATTAAACATAAAAATTAATATGATACCTAAATAATAATGATCACTTCGCATCCGAAAAGATATAACAATTTAATAGATCTTAATATATGATATGAATATGAAAGAACAAAGAGATTAACGTATTTCGGTAATATTTGATGAGAAAGTGATCATACAATCCATTATTTAAGGTTAATAAATATGGAGCACTTTATATACTATTAAATGTTATATCCCGCAAGAGAATCCCAAATATTTCTAGATATTTTTTAAAGAAAATTTATATAAAATCTTAAAAGTATATATAAAAATTATATTTTTATATGTTGGTTTTGTTCGGATTTTTTTACTCAATACAAACAAACCTAGTCGGGTTTTTTAATCGGTTTGGTTTGACTTTTCGGTTTGGTGCGGTTTTCCGATTCGGTTTGTACACCCCTAGTCATTCCCCATTCTTACCAATTTTTCCTTCTTCACTTGAAAATCCATTTTCAAATTTGAAAAACTGGTTCTCACCACTTTTTCAATTGAAAATGAGAATTTGCTAGTTTTTAGTTTTACAAATTTACCGTATATTTTTAAAATTTATAAAATGACCCTATCAGTTTTTCATCTTTGGCAGATACATCTTTCGCGATTGATGGTGGAACATCAGTCCTAGTTGATACTTGAACTCTGCCTACTCGAAATTTGATTATATGGTTATCAGAAATATGTGGCTATGCCTGCTTTTGCACCTCCTCTGTGTGTTAGTAGAATTAGAAAATGTGATATTGATTTTGCATTTTCTGTGTATTGCAGTAAAGCAGAATATGATAACAGTTAAACAATAGTGTTTTGATTGTTTATTTCAAGTAGGATAATCAAATTTTGGTGGTTTTGATATTTTTTATAAGTTGTGGGGTATAAATCATGTTTCATGATTTTGAAAAAAAAAAAAGATATCCAAATATATTACAAAAATTATAACCAAACACAACTTTATCTTCAATTCAAATTTTAATGAAATTTTAAATTTGAAAAAAAATAAACTGAAATCCATGTCCAATCACCTACTATTGGCTTGCATTTTGTATTATTATTATTTTTGACACTCTCAACTTTAAACAATTTCCTCTCAACTTTAAACAATAAATGTTCTCCCCATAATATGTCAACTACCTTACATTCTTTATCTTTCTTTTACTTCTTTTTTAAAATCATATATATATAAAAATTTATGTAACAAACCTACCTATTGAAAAAATAAATAGTATTTTTAGTAAAATAAATGAATAAAATATTTAAAAAATTATTAATGTCATTAATTTTTTATTAGTGGGGTCTAGAAAGGGTAAGATGTATGCGGTCTTATCCCTATCTTGGAAGGGCGAAGATTGTTTCCGATTTTATTAATAATAATTAAATATTATTTACACAACTGAAAGTGGAAACTTTATAAACATATCTTAATGCATATAGTACGAAAAATAACTAATAAGACAGAAGTGAATTTTATAATAAATTCCTAAAAATTATGGTGACATGAGTCTCCACTTGGTGAAGAATATATCAGTTCTGTACTTGTACACAGGTAGCCTCTACCTTTGCTCATAGCTTTATACCAAAATCTTGAAATCTCACAAATAATTATACAAATAAAAGGGTAATTTCACGGATAATCACTCTTAATTAATCCACTAATAAGAGAAAAGACGATAAATTAAGTAGAGAAAACAGTGTGATACAACAACTTATATGTAAATCTTAATTTTGATTGATAAACTGCGAAAATGAAAGTCAGAAAAATCAACTAATATGTTTGAAAAATATCATAAACAGATATATAAAGTGAACTGGCATTTTTTGCTAGTCACAGTTTTTTTGGTTCATCATTCACTACCAAAAGGAGGCCATATTTTAGAGGACTTTTTATAAACCATTATAGTTTAGAGTCTACTAACTATAGTTTATTTAATTACCATTCGTAATTACTATACGAATACAATATGCCAACTGTAACCAAGGTAACATACAAGGGTGTATACAAAGGATACAACTTGTATCGCATTCAATTTGAATCGAGTATATACATGGGTGTATACAAAAGATACAACATGCATCGATCGTATTTGTTCACGCAACGAACACAACTAAGGCGAACCACATGAATACAGAAAAATAAAATGTACTTGTTGAGAGTTGAATTGAAGACCACCACTAATAAGCACACGCTCTAACCAACTGAACTACGAAAGTTAGTTGCTCTCTTTTTTCAGTTTAAAATGACTCTTATTTTATGGATTTGCTATAAAATTCAAATATAACTACGAATGATAAATTTGCCAAAAATATAGCTACGAATAATTAATATAGTGTAAAGCAATGCCGTAGGCCCATGCGATCTATCGCAGCTATGGATAGGGGTGTGCATTCGATTTATCGATTCAATTTTGACCCTTATCGATAATTACTTATCGATTATCGATTTGTACATATGCTTATCATTATGGTTTGAATAAGGTTTCAATTTTTTTGATTTCGGTTTATCGATTTTAGGGGCTTATCAATTCGGTTATCGATTACACAAATAAGAAAATTTGCGGGATTCCACGAAAAGTGTATCGCTATAAATACGCCTAAATAATATAGACAAAAAGAAGCTAAAATAAGACGAACATCGTTTATAACATAAAAATTGTGTTAACAGGTAAAGTAAGTGATCAAATGTATGCCACCAACACTCCAACGGTATTAAAAAAAATAAAAATACATTATCACTGCTAATTCTATTTTCCACTAATTTGAACTTCATTCCCTTGAGCTTTAAATATGATCATTCCTTAAATGTGGTAGATGAAATAAGCCTATAGATTCTTCTAAACCCAGACTTACACCATCTATACGTGTTAAAGAAATCACTAAATAAGTACAAGTAAAAGGTTTCGAATCCAGCAACTTAGACGCAAAGCGGTAGAAATTTTAAGTCTAAACCTATAAAGTTCAAATGTTGGATCCGCCTCAGAATGATGCATAGCTAGTGTTGCTAAAAGGATATAAAAACAACTCACTCAGACTCTCAGAGAAAGAATCAAGTCATCACCTTCGGTTGGCTCAACTATTCCCACAGAAAACTCAGCATCTAAAGACAATCCCTCGCAAGCTAGAATAAAAAGAGCAGCCCGGTGCACTAAGCCCCAAGGAAAGGACCGGACCACAAGGGTCTATTATACGCAGTCTTACCCTGCAATTCTGCAATAGGCTATTTCTACGGCTCGAACCCGTAACCTCCTTGTCGCATGGCAACAACTTTACCAGTTATGCCAAGGCTCCCATTCAACTTACAAGCTAGAGTAGCTGGAATAATTTGAGGACAATCAACAAAAGCATTTCTGGTGATTTTTCACCAGTAGTCTACAATTGCCTTTTATAAGTTGGAACCAACAGAAAACAAACTATTGCCTTTGCAATGATCTTCACACCGTTAAACGCTCTTTCGTGATTTCGTTCTAAATTACTCAAGTCATGACCAGAGAAGTTCAAATAGGTTCTTTCCAAGGCGAAACGCCACAAATGAGTTAAGGTTGGTTGAACAATGTGGCACCTCGACAGTACACCTGAATACAAGAGAGAAAGCAAACCCTTAGATCCATTTTCTGCAATAATATCTATGCAATTCTAATGACGACTAAAATAACTTGGAATTCCTTATAACAAGTTCAATCCAGGCGAGAAAGAGAAAGGGAGAAACTTGCATGGAAACATCAGTTTTCCAGTGTTAGCATATACAAAAGAATAACAAGAATGTGCATGCTAATGAAGATAAAACAACTTTAAACAAGTGAAAAGATTGTCTAGGTATGCAAACAAAGTTTCCTGATATTATTATCTATAAATGTCCTGATTTAGAGAAGAAAAGTAGATCTACAGAAATATAACCTTTTCAACTTTAAGACTCTAATCATCCTGATCTGCAGTGATACAGAGAACACTTTAGCTAGAGCCACACAACGATTCAAATGCCCTTAATCGATATCTCCAACTGCTCGATCCTTTTGGCTAGATCATGCTTCCCACAAGTCTTCAATCCATCTGTAACCATGTCAAAGCTTCGTGACATAGGCAACAGATTTAACTCGGTCATTTCTACTAAATAGTTAGCAGCCTCTACAAATCTACCTCCACGAGTGCACATCTTTATCAACATAGTATAAAGTGGTCGATTCGGTGGATGCCCTTTCAACTTCATATCACTGAAAAAGCTAAATGCATCATCGAACTGTCCTCTCCGGAAGAAAGCCTTTAGAATTGGAGCATATAAACTAGGAAATGGCCGCTGTCCATCTTCAATTGACCTATGAAGAATCTGAAATGCCTCATCTATCCTCCCTACTTTTGATGCTGCAGTTATAACAATTTTATATGTCTCAATATCAGGACAAAGCCCCAATCTACAAACATCATTGAAAAGGTCAATGCAAAAGTCTATCTCCCCGGTTTTACATATAGCTTCTGCCAACGAATTGAAAGTTCCAACATCTGGAACGAACCCCTCCTTTGTCATTTTCCTCACCAGTCCTTTAGCTGATTCCAGATAGCCAGCATTAAGCAACCCATCAATTAGAAGGTCCCTCCCGCGTACCGGAGGATTGAATCCCTTTCGACTCATTTCCTCCAAAAACTCTTGTGCCTCTCTCATCTTCCCTGCCGAACACCAGCCATTTACAAGAATGGAATATGTCTTCTTATCCGGAACAGTACCTTTTCGTATCATCCTCCTAATCAATGCATAGGCTCCTTGGAAATTCTTGACCTCGCAAAGAGCAAAAAGCAAAGCATTGTATACTTCGGTGGTATGAGGACAATTGAAGTTCTTGAGCCGATTGAAGAGCTCGACAGCCTGATCAATGAGACCACGCTTACCATAGTGTTCAATAATAAATGAAACTATGGAGGGTGAGATAGGGATATTCTGGGCTTTCATCTGCTGAACTACTTTCCACATTGTTTCCCAGTGGGCAGTCCGGGCGAGGGTCTTAAGAAGCTCTTCAAACTCGACAGTAGTTGGGTCATACTGAGGGTGTTGAGTCCGAGCCCAATTAAAGAAGCGAAATGATTCAATACCATGTTGGCAGCAACTGCGAAGGATACGGTACACCAGTTCAGAGTTAACAATACTAGAAATATGCATCTTATTGAGGGTCCTCTCCATGTAAATATCTCGCCGAACAATGTTAGATATATGATGAATTGTTGCAAAGTAGTCATCATTAGGTACACTTCTGCTGCAACTACCTTTGCCGATGAATGGATTGCTATCCGGGTCGACGGAAGGTGTTAAAGTTTTAAGACACCTAAAAGCGCTGGCGCTGTTGGTTAATATGGCTGAATATGAAGTCCTTTGAAGAAAGATTCTGGCAAACATTGAAAGCATTCCCGAGTAGCAAATTGGTTCAAATCCGCTTGTGGTAAACTAACTCAATTATTTGGAATTCCAGCTGCATTAAGTAGGGAAAAGAGTACAGAATGCAGCCATATCGAGGGTTGAGTCCTACAAAGTTTGAAAAATGAGTGTACATGGAAACTTCAGCAAAATCCTCACTCCTACTTTTTAATGCTAATGGTTATTCCGGAGGCAAAAAAATTCAGTTACCAGAGGTATTTCTGATTATCTCAGAGATATAATAACCAACTTCTCAGGCACAGTGAATTACCTTAAGGGCCAGTTATAACAAACTTGGTTCAAATGGTTAAAAATTGTGTAATCACATGGTTGAAAAATTAGACCAAATGATCTGAAACTGATGTACAAGACACAAATAAGCGTACTTTTGCTAAACAAGCATCATAAAACAATCATGAAACAAAATTTTACTATTAAGCTCCATATCTTCAACCCCGTTTCGTTAGCTACTCATACAAGAATGATGCAATATTTATACAACGAGGTAAGTGAAGAGTGCGTACACCAGCTCTACGCTTTAAAATAGGCATTTGCCTCAGTTGTGTCTCTCATTCGTCTTTTCTGCACTTAAGACGACAAGTAATGAGGATTTAGCAGTATCCTCTTTCCAGAAAATGAGGATACATGTTGCCTTTTTGAGTCTGTCATAATTCTCATGCTTAATAATAAAATTACAAACATTTTCACCTCACAAATTGCTTAGGATCTTATTACAACTGCATGGCATTTTACACCATAAAAATTCCCTATTCCGAACTTACTAGAGAGGAGGCAGAACTTACAGTTACTAATCTGAACGAAATTCTTTGACAAACATATCTTTTACACCAAACTAACCATTTCGTTAAGCAATGTAACTTTTCCTTCCGATCACCAAATTACTTTGTCTAAATCAACGAATAGTTGACGAAAGTTTTTTGATCATGTCCTACCAAAATAAATCCATTAATTCCTTAGGACTCAAAACACATCGATTGACACCCATGACTTTAGTCCAAACTTATACAAGTTTCTTTTCAAAAATCATGTTTGGTACTATAAGCACATTAGATCAATTCAATTCGAATATCCTAAGGAGAAACTACTTCAAACCAAAATCTCAAAAAATGGACAAAGAAACCTTGAAAAGATACCAACAAATTACAAAAGAACAAATAAAGTTGGAAAACTTTAATCCTACTCAAATGACCATCTATTTCGTATTTCTTATATTACTGTTATTTTATTACGATTAAAATGATGGTACTAATATATCGTCTCTTGTTGCTTTCTTGAGCCGAGGGTTTCTTGTAAATAACCTCTCTGTCCCTCGGCTAGGGGTAAGGTCTGCGTACATATTACCCTCCCAGACCCCACTTGTGGCATTATACTGGGCCGTCGTTGTTGTTGTTAACACAAAGGACCAAAAATCACCAAGAAATTACAAAAAAGAACAAACAAATAAAGTTGAACACTTTTATCCAACTCAAACTGACTATTTCAGACAAACTTAACATTAAACACCAAAAATAACGAAGAAATTACCCAAAAGAAAAAAGGTTGAAAACATTAATCCAAGTCAAGTGACCATTTCAAAAAACATAAATTCTAAGCATAAAAAATAACACAGCTCTATTTTAGCACAATAAGTAGAGAAAAGGATTAAGTGTAGAGACGCTACCTCCTTCCACCGCCCGTTGATTAATTCAGCGCCAATTATGTTTCTTATGCAATAAGTCCGAAACTTTTGAGTCAAATTCCCAAATTTATAAACCTCGACACCCTTCAGCAAATTGAAGTACATAAGAAAAAAAGAAGAGAACTTGAGAATTGTAGAAACCTTGTGTGTTTTTGTGCAACTGAGAGGTGCTAGTGCGCGAAAATGGGGCATTTGCACAAATAGCCTTTTATGAAGTCATTATTTAGATTTTGTCTCCGTTAGTTCATTCGTCTAAGGGTGCTAGTGCGTGAAAATGGGGCATTTGCACATATGGCCTTTTATGAGGGGCAAGTGCACAGATAGCCATTCTCAATGATGCTATTTAGAGATTAGCCAGTACTTATTTTGTTCTGAAATTTTACACAAAAAATTATAACTTCAGGACAATTTAGGATAAAAAATTAAACAGAAATACTAAGATTCAAAGCAAACTGACTAATTCCGAAATAATAACCCTTTAAAGTGGCTACCTGGTGTCATTTCTACCTTTTATGAAGTCATTATTTAAAGAAGAATTTACATAGAATACAACTTTCTAAAGACTTATTTATATTTTCTACTACTACTTTAATAAAATTACTTTTATTACAACTTATTTTAAAATCATACAACTTTTTAATTCCTAAAATCTCTCCTTGATATTCTCTCACTGGAAAATATCTCTTTTTGATTCTCACGTACCTATTCCCCCAATTTCTCAAATAAAAGATATTCCATGATTTCATAATTTATATCTCCTTTCAGCGTGATTTCTCCATGATTCTCTCATATATCTCCTTTCTCCTTCAATATAATATATTTATTTAGGGGCTGATTTTTATAGAAACTCTGAAAATCATGGACGGTGATAGTAGAGACACTATTTGAATTGAAGAAATTTCAGAATCATCTTCTGAAAGAACCAAGTTGTTTTCAACCCACCATCACCCTCATTCTATTTATCGACAAGTTGCATCTGGAAAACAACAAAGATAAAAGGATTTTCGAAAAAAGCACGGCAGAGAATCTATGAAGAAGATTTGCAATAGTAACTCTTTAGTGTATGACGATGATGATGATGAGCATTTACCACAAATTGCTCATCGATTGGAAGAAAGAATACTTCGTATGTTGGGATGGAAGGTTGAATCCCAACCAAGGTATAGCCTAGTTTCAAAGCACATTGCGAAGATGAGAACTGGTATAAGGTATATTTTCCCATTGTTATTATTGATATGTATCTGATAAGGTATATTTTCCCAATACTGTATACAATATATTATATAACATATACATATAATAATATTATATGATATATACATATATAATATGTATAATATATATGTATATGTTATATAATATTAATATATGACGTCTCCTATTTCACATAGCTTTTTAGAATTAATTTGTGATTAGTTGTTGTATATTATTTATGATATAAATGTTGTTCTCTCTTTTTTTTTAGTTGTACTTGAAGAATATTTCTCCTACTGAATTGGAGAAGGAAATCATGATAAAGGGTGTGTTATTTCTCGCCAATGGACAGGAGAAGGAGAATACAAGGAATACAACTGATAAGGTGATGGGGAATGAGAAGGTGGATGTAGAAGCAATCGGGAATGAGCATGTAATTGAAGATGTGAAAGAAAAATGTAATAAAAAAGAGAATATGAATGAGCAAACTAATTGGAGGGGGGAGCCGAATGTGAAAGAGAAAGAGTTGCTGATGAAAAGGGGGGAGCCGAATGTGATTAACAAATTAGAGAATATTTAGGGTCTAAATACCTAAATATATGCTTACCATATATCGTTCCATGCGTTAAGATCTGATGATATTCCCCTTAAATAAGGGAAGTTACCTATATATAAAATATATGTTGTACAATTTGTAATTCAAAACCAAGTTGTATATTATGGAATATTTTTCAAATCCTTAAGTAATTATGAAAATTCCCCTTATTTAAATTTGAGGTTTGTCTCCGTTAGTTCATTCGTCTAAAGTTGGCTGCATTCGAATATATTTATTCAATTACTTTTGAAGGTAAAATTAACTCATTGAATTAACGATGATAGAAGTTAAAGAGTGATATCAGAAAAGGTCATATGATGAAATTTTTTCTGCAATTTTTTTTATTTCTTTGATCCAGACGTTTGTTGAGGTCTTGAGCAGTGGAAGAAGCGTGGGAATTGAACCAATAACTTTACAAAAGTTTAGAATCCCTTTGACAACTAAATTATACTTTTGGCTACGTCAAACAAATTCAAAACATAATATATATATAGAGGTAAAAATAAATTTTGCTTTATATAAATAGTATATTTTTTTCAGGCCCCTAAATCCGCCCCTATTCTTGGGGAGCTGCTAGTTGGATCGAGCCGATTAAAACTAAAGATTCGATGAACTCAATCGTTGTTCGTGATCCGTGATTTGTGAAATCATAGCAGAAATATAAATGTTTCTGCTATAATTATATTTTTTTCATATTTGTAGTGTTACTACCGGATTATATAAATCTCGACTAATTTTACGAAATATTGCTTATCTCCCATCGATATAATCAAATATCAACTCGTTATGTGTTGGGAATCCCAACCAAAAACCGTTAAAATACCTTGTGGAAATATAATATTATCAGTGGAGTTGTCTTCCACTAGCTTTCATATTTTGACAATAGAAACATTGACCTATTATTAATGGTGTAGTCAAAATATAGTTGAATTTACTATAAATTGGAGTAACTAGTGTTTCACTTAAAAGTTATCGAACACTTTTCGAGTAAATCAATCAAAATAAATCAAGGGTAAATCGTAATCAAAGATAATAAGACCCTAGAATATACCATATGTTCGTTCGTTTTTTGTCTCAATATGCGAATGAGATTCAAAGACAAAGAGAGTGATTTAGAGAGAGAGAGATAGAGAGAGATAGGAGAAGTTCAATAATAACCATCTGTTCCCTTTTACAATGCTAGGATCCCTTTTATATATTAAGGGACCCTCCTCGAAATATTAAAATAAACAGAAACTGAGCGCATGCCTTTGAAGGGACGACGGAACCTATGGTGTCGTTTGTTCCACCGCCCCTAGGTCGTACCCCTGCCCTAGCTAGTGCACAGTTAACGGTCGTCCATGCGACGTAGCGGGACGTGGTTGGTCAAATTCGACCCCATACAACTAGATTTGAAGAGTTAACATTATATTGCCCCATAATATTCATTTGAGCGAAATTTGCAACTTAGGTCAAATTTTAATATGGACTTAATCCAATAGAATTTGTGTCTACTAATACAAGTTTCAGCCATTTAATGTAAACAAAATGTAATTTATATATAAAAATAGCACAGTATACACAGTACTAGAGATGATATAGTATTGTTCAAAGTACATAAAATAAAAGATTAACAATTTTAAAGAGTTGGCAACTAAGTATAGGGCAATTCATCGTGTAGAGTTTCACTTTTTTTAAATGTTTGGTAAGCCAAATCTTCTTAAAGTATCCATAAATAGGAGGAATACATATTATTTGATCATTCACAAATTAAATATTAACAAATTTTTATAAGTTAATTCTCCAAATGGCACTTAAGGTGTCACGACCCAAAATCCCAACACGGTCGTGATGGCGCCTCTCGTGAAGACAAGGCCAGCCATCAACCCCTCCTTCTTTATGTCTTTATTTCAGTACTCCAGTGTATTCCCAGTTATGGAGTTATTTTGTATTGTACTTTGTTATATGTCCTAGAGGCTCAAGCAGAAGGATTTGAATTTGAGGCAGCGGAGGTGGCTCGAGTTGCTTAAGGATTATGATGTTACTATCCTGTATCACCCGGGTAAGGCTAATGTGGTGGCAGATGCCTTGAGTCGGAAGGCAGTTAGCATGGGCAGCTTGGCTTTTATTCCAGTTGGGGAGAGACCACTTGCAGTTGATGTTCAGTCCTTAGCTAATCGGATGGTTCGGCTGGATATTTCGGAGCCTAGCCGAGTATTGGCTAGTGTGATTTCTCAGTCCTCTTTGCATGACCGCATTAGAGAGTATCAGCATCATGATCGGCATTTGCAGGTTCTCAGAGATCGAGTTCAGAGGGGCGATGCCAAAGATGTGACTATTGACAGCGATGGTGTTCTAAGGATGCAGGGCCGTATCTGTGTACCTGATGTAGATGGGATTCGAGAGATGATTTTGGCGGAGTCTCACAGCTCGCGATACTCCATTCATCCGGGGGTCGCGAAGATGTATCAGGATCTTAGGCAGCTGTATTGGTGGAGAAGAATGAAGAGGGATATTGTGAGCTACGTGGCTAGATGTCTTACTTGTCAGCAGGTGAAGTCTGAGCATCAGAGACCTGGTGGTTTGCTCCAGCAGATGGTTATTCCTGAGTGGAAGTGGGAAAGGATCACGATGGATTTTGTGACTGGTTTGCCTCGGACAGTGAGGAAGTTTGATTCGATTTGGGTGATCGTGGACCGGTTGACCAAGTCCGCGCATTTCATTCCAGTGTGCACTACATATTCATCGCAGCGGTTGGCAGAGATCTTCATTCATGAGATTGTCCGGTTGCATGGTGTTCCAGTCTCGATTATATCAGACAGAGGTCCACAGTTCACTTCTCAGTTTTGGAGAGCTTTCCATTCAGAGATGGGTACTCAGATTGATTTGAGTTCAGCATTTCATCCTCAGACGGACGGGCAGTCCGAGCGTACAATTCAGATATTGGAGGATATGTTGCGTGCCTGTGTTATTGACTTTGGTGGTTCTTGGGAGGAATTCTTGCCTCTTGCAGAGTTCGCTTATAATAATAGCTACCAGTCCAGCATCCAGATGGCTCCATATGAGGCTTTATACGGGAGACGGTGTAGATCTCCGGTTGGTTGGTTTGAGCCCGGCGAGGCTAGACTTCTGGGTACAGATATGGTTCAGGATGCCTTAGAGAAGGCAAAGGTGATTCAGGAGCGACTTCGTACAGCTCAGTCGCGCCAGAAGAGTTATGCAGATCGGAGGGTTCGAGATTTGTCCTTTATGGTTGGCGAGAAGGTTCTACTGAAGGTCTCGCCTATGAAAGGCGTTATGAGATTTGGGAAGAAAGGAAAGTTGAGTCCTCGATTTATAGGTCCTTTTGAGATTCTGGAGAAGGTTGGAGAGGTGGCCTATAAGCTTGCCTTGCCACCTAGGTTGTCGGGAGTTCACCCGGTATTTCATGTTTCGATGCTTCGGAAGTATGTGGAGGACCCGTCCCATGTGTTGGATTTCAGCTCAATTCAGCTTGATAATGATTTGACTTATGATGTGGAGCCAATTGCCATTTTGGGTCGACAGGTTCGCAAGTTGAGGTCTAAAGAGATAGCTTCAGTGAAAGTTCAGTGGAGAGGTCGTCCCGTGGAGGAGGCTACTTGGGAGACCGAGCATGAGATGCGGAGCAGATACCCTCATTTGTTTACTGCTTCAGGTATGTTTCTTTACCCGCTCGAGGACGAGCGTTTGTTTAAGTTGGGGAGGATGTAATGACCCGACCCGTCATTTATTGCATTTCAATCCCGTTACCCCGTAATATGCTTCCTCGTGTGTTGATATCCGTGTTGGATGAGTTTGGAGTGGTTCGGGTGAAATTTAGATAGAAATGAGACACTTAGACACTTAGTCTCTTTAAGGAAGGTTTAGATTGAAAGAGTTGACCCAAAGTTGACTTTCGGGTTAGAGGGCTCGGAATGGATTTCCGACCGCTCGACTAGTTCCGGGGGATGATTTATGACTTAGGAGAGAAAACGGAATTGAATTTGGAGGTCCGGTGTGAAAGTTAGCCTATTTTGGCGAAGTTGGAATTTCGGAGAAATCCAGTTGATAGGTGAGATTTTGATCCGAGGGTCGGAATGGAATTCCGAAAGTTGCTGTAGATTCATTATGTCATTTTGGACTTGTGTGCAAAATTTGAAGTCAATCGGACGCGATTTGATAGGTTTCGGCATCGGAAATGAATTTGGAAAGTTTAAGTTCAAGTTTAAATTGAATCATAGGATTTTGGTGATTTTGATGTTTAAGGTAGCGTGTTTATTGCCCGAGCAAGTTTGAATGAGGTAATAAGTCATGTTTGTGCTTTTGGTTGTGGTCCCGAGGGCCTCGGGGTGATTTCAGATGGCTAACGGGTCATTTTTGGAAGATTCTTGCCGTTTTGAGCATAAATGTGTGATCTAAAGGTTCATTTTTAGTTCTAGAGATCCAAAATTGATTCCGAGACTTCCGGAATTTAAATCATGAATTATAGGACTGATCTGGAAATTTTGGTTTAATTTTACCAAGTCGCGATAGGGTTTTTGACGCGATATGTGAATTAATTGTTTAACGAGCTAAATTGAGATTTAACTGAGCAGATGAGCTCCAAATTCAGTTTTGTTTGGACTGCTAGATCCGTATCGAAATTACGGAGCCATAGGAAAAAGAATCGTTTAATTCCGAGTTCGTATGAAGGAGTTAGAGCCATTTTATTAGAAAATGGCTGTGCTGCAATTTTATTCAAAAAAAGCTGCTGCATTTTTAATAGTGAACAGTACCCGCGCGTGAACAGTAACCGCGCGTGAATAGTAACCGCGTGAACAGTGCAATTTCTGGGCAGTTTTAATTAGAGCAGTCCGAGTTTTTCACCATTTTTTTGACTTCCAAGCTCGGGTTTTGGGCGATTTTTGGAGCAAAATGAAGAGGGTTTCGATGGGAATTGATTGGAGGTAAGTTTCTTGACTTAGAAACATCATTTAATCTTGGTTTTAGCCCTTAAATTTCTGAAAATCGGACAAAATTCATGCTTTAGGGCTTGAAATTTCAATTCTTTAAATGAGGATTTGAGTGGTCAAATGGACTCCGATTTTGGTAAATTTTATATGTACGGAATCGTGGCGAGACGAGGAATCCGGTGATGTGATTTTCGTAATTTTTCGAGATGTGGGCCCGGGGCTCGGGTTTTGTGAATTTCGAGAATTGTGTTGTTTTTTTCGAGTTCTTTCGATTGGGTTATGTTCCATTAGCATCATGTGATATATTCGATGTGGTTTTGGGCAGATTCGTCGCTCGTGGAGGAGAATTCGAAAGGAAAAGGCATTTCGGGCTAGTTTTTCGGCCGTGTCGAGGTGAGTAATGCTAGTAAATGCTGTTCTGAGGGTTTGAAACCCCGGACTTTCACAATGTAATGCTATATTGAGGTGACTTGCACGCTGGACCTGAGCGTGGGGTAGAGCACCGTTGGGGGATTGAGACTTGGTCCATCCCGGATATTGAAAATACTGATTTATTGATAAAGAAACACTGGTTTATATTTATAATTGGGCTATATGCCACATTTGGGGCCTAGTGCCGAACTGATGCATTCATTGTAGATTGATATTGATGCATATCCGTCGTGGGCCCTATACGGGTGAATCCGGCGTGGTCATGATACTGATATATATCCGCCGTGGACCCTATACGGGTGAATCCGGCGTGGTCTATGATATTGTTATGTCCTTCGTGGGCCCTATACGGGTGAATCCGGAGAGACTTGGATATTGATATTCGTCCGCCGTGGGCCCTAGATGTGGGTAGTTCCGGTGAGACTGGGATTTGCATAGCATACCTGCATTGCATCGTTCATGCTTTATTATTATTGTTGATTTAGCTGTGCAGTTCGATTGTGGAGACATTATGCTGTTTAACTTACCTTGTGCATTTACTGTGATTTCTTATCTTCAGAGCCTTATTTATTATTATTACTCACTGAGTTGGTAGACTCACCCATTACTCCCTGCACCTTGTGTGCAGATACAGGTAGAGCTGAGACAGCACCTAAGCGCTGGTTTTATCCAGACCAGGCTGTGACGAGGAGAGCGAGGTAGCTGTTGGCGTTCGCAGCCCCGTTTTCTCCCTTATCTTTTATTACTTGTATTATTTCCAGACTTGTAAAAATATTATAAACTCTGTAGTAGCTCATGACTTGTGACACCCCGATTTCGGGATGGGTTTTGTTATTTTATCACGTTTACTACGCTTTCATGACTTTATATCCTGTTAATTAATTATAAAAAGGCGTATTGTTCGTTGTTGGCTGGCCTTGTCTTCACGAGAGGCGCCATCACGACCGTGTTGGGATTTTGGGTCGTGACATAAGGCAAATGTTCTTATTCTTTCTTTGGTTCTTCTGATAATATCATCAGAAGTTATTGCTAGGGATATGGTTGATCCTTCAATGTCATTGCTTGAACGTAAGTTTTCTTATTACTTTTTTTAATTTTATTTTTATTAACTACTAATTACAACTTTGAGATGACTATTTAAATTAAGTCTATTATTTAATAGAAAAAGGGTTTAAAAAAATCATTTACTATACGAAAATGCTGAATTTACCCTCCATTACACTTCAGGATCATTTCACTATATCCTCGTCGTAACCATAGACGAATTCAAGATTTAAATTGAATGAGTTCAACTTTTAAAATTTTTTGTATTAAACTCATTGGCTCGTTATGAGATTACACTGGGTTGTTGTTGTTGTAAATTCACTGGACCGTTCAAATTATGGGTTCAAACCTACTATCTTATCAAATTTTAGTAGGCTTTTAAATATAAATTCTTACTCTACGTCGAAAGCTATGGGTTCAGTTGAACTCGTAGCTGAAAGACTACATCCGCCTCTGCTCATTAGTAAATTGTCTTGTTTACCCTTGATTCTAATAGAGCTTTAACCTAAAATACTAACATATGGTATTTTAAACTATTTTGGACCTTTTTTTTTAAAAGTATCTTGTCACGTCGAACTCACATTGTCTATACTAGAGCACGTGAAGTGCAAATATGAGACAATTTTTTTTGGTAGGAAAGATAATTCATATTAGATAAAGTACAGCACCCCTAGTTAGTAAATATGAGACAATTTACTAATAACAAGGATATAAATAACCTAAAAATATAACGAAGGGTAAAAGTAAGATATTTTTTATTGTAAATGTGCAAATTTTATTCTAACTTTCCCCTTGTTTAAATAACCATTGATCCCATAAGAAAAGGGTGGGATTAGCGGATCCAGGATTTTAAGTTTATGGGTTCCTGTCGCAATCTCAAATTAAAAAACAAATGGGATGAATGACGCAACACTCCAAAAGATAGGCGGAAAAGTTGGAATGTTTTTCGATTTCATGTGTGCAGCTTGCAAATGCCAAAAGGGTAATAACGACAATAATGATAATGATAACAATAATGATATTGTCTGTCAAACCGTTTGTTGTTAGTCACAAAAGGCACAACAATATTGAACGATCATCTTCTTTCGATCCATTATTTATACTATGTACTTTGTGTAATAATATGAGATTGATTGAATAAAGGAAAACTTTGGATGATCGTTATGTTAATTTTCACTTTGTTTGCAATAATAATACGAGTTGTTATAAAAACAATGTAGTACGAGTTGCAGTGTTTATTTAATTATTATTTGTGAAATATTGTACGTGGAGATCATGGTCATTTTTTACTTGTTATATAATATAAGCTATGAATTTGAATAAATGGAAGGCTTTGTAGCCTCATTCTGTTTGGAAAAAACAAGCACAAACAATGTGTACGACAAGGTAGTAACAAAATAATACCTAAGTCTAACTTTCCTCAATCTATCCGAACCAAGAGAAGAGAAATGTATCCGGACAACAAATATATCAACCAATAAATAAATCGGCAAGGCAAAAATAACATTTATTAAATGAATGAAAGCTAACACAAATCTAGACCTTACTGATGAATTCACCGCCGCAAACAGATCCAGATAACTTCATTTCACTCATTGCAGAAGAAAAGACTCGCCTCTACTCTCCCTAGAGATATTCCATTATCATTAAAGTGGTTGGGCGCGAAGTGGGACACCAACAACTAATGCAGAAGGTTTTTCCTCAGTGAAAACCTAGTGAAGACCTTCCTCTCATTGATTTTTGAGCTGATTACTTCCTCATTAAGTTCCAAAGAGAGGAAAATATGTTACGAACACTTGGTGATGGCCCTTGGTTTAATTTGTGCTCAATCATTTCCTATTTGTGCATTGGTAGGACCCAAAATTTATAGCATCAAATACCCCCTTAACCTACTCAGTCATTTGGGTACGTTAATCGAACTACCTACAAAATTTTATGATATGAACATCTTGAAACGGGTGGGTAACAAAATTGAAAAGTTATAAAAAATAGAAAACTACACCTCCTCCATTTCAAGGGGTGATACGCTCGTATATGTATGGAAGTGCCTCTTGATCAATCTCTTAAAACCCACCTCTATATAGGCAGACACAAATAATTCATCCATTATGAAAGTTTGGATCTTATGTGCATTAGTTGTGGAAGAATTGGCCACCCCACTACCTGATACCTGGTGATGCCCACATTCACCTCAAAAAACTTTGCCCTCGACACAACGACCAACACTGACTCACCTCCTCCTTCTGGACACCCGTCTTCCTCAACACCACCAACCGCACGTGACGAATGGAAAACAATAGTTTTTCCCAAAAGGCAACACAAATACACGCATACATGCACAAAACTCCCCACTGTTAAACTCTACACTTAAGCCGTCTCATCCAAGGCCGGCGCTGCCATCTCCTCCAGGTACGTCTTCTAACCAACCCCCACGACCTCTTCTCCCTAACCAGGAACCCCAACCCCGCTCCCTACATGCACCATCCCAATCTCGAAGAATCAGAGGACCCAGACGCACATGAAACAACAACGATAATGCAACAATCTATTTATATAGAATAACAAAGGCAAAACAATGTTAGGCTGACAAGTGGAATACCCACAATGTTAACACATGTAAATAATTAGGACAACTCTCCAAGATAATTGGAGTTTTTGTCTTCAAACTATAAAAATTCAGCAAAATAAAGTTAAATTTTGAATCTGAAATATTAACAATATTCCCACGAACTTGATTTCTACTCCCACGATTTTTGGTTTTCTCCCACGATTATTTGTGGTGGCTGTTATTAGAAAAAAGAAACCTCCCACTTTCTTAGTTGGCTCTATTTTACTGAACAACTACCATCTCAAATTTTCAATTAGTTTTTTTTATACATAAAAGTTTTAAAAAAAAAATTATTTCAACAAAACAGTTTGCATCTCATCAAATGTGAAGTTATTTCATCAAAGGCAAAATAGTAGGTATTATCCCACGACTGATTGTGATCCCAAACGTGGGCTCCCAACTCAAAATTCCTATTTTATCTACACCTCTATAACTGCATGATTTATGCACTTTATAGTTTCAAAACCTTTTCAACTTCATATTTTATCTACTCAGTATACCAGTCTGATTACAATTACTTTGCAAATATGGCCACACAAATTCATGATATCAAACAAATTTGAGGCAACTCGATGCAGTGGAATCTCAAAGTTAGAGTCGGTCGAATGTGGATAATACCGGATCGCTTTAAGCCGGAAATACCACATTCAATTGAACTGATTTTACAGGATTCTAAGGTAACATATTAAACTTTCTCATAGTTTTAAACTCAGTAAAGTAGTCGCATTCTTTATGAAAATTCAGAATAAGAGGAGCAAACTAGCAAGGAAAATAAGATAAGCAAATAAATGAAAGGCTGCAACAAGGCAGGACATCGATGGAAACTAATTAACCTTATAGATTATTTTTCTTCTCAGTTTGTCTTTTTAGTTTTTGTTAAAGAGATCCCGCATTACCTCTTATTAGTACAAGTGTTCCTCTTTTGTCTATTAATGTTGCCTTCATAATTGATATACAACAAACTGTACCATTCTGTTTTTTGACATTTAAATCTTGAGGACAACTTTGAGTAGTGATGAAAGTATATACGAGCTTATAATTGTTGGCTTCATATTTGTGCACTAATAATGAATTTGATTTTGTAGGGTGATCGTATACATGCTTCAATCGGAAAGTATGTTATTAAGTTTTTTTAGGAAAAAGATACATGAACTTCGCTTATATCGTATGAACTACTTTGTCGTCGGACCAAATAATTTGAAGTTGAGGACTACGACACACAACCTGAGGCTGACATTTACTCAAAAGACATTTGTTGAGGAAACGAATGATCCTTTCTTTCATATGAACATCTTTAACTTGCGCCCTTTTGACCAACTAACAAATCAATATGATGTCGATGAGAGAGAACTAATCGGTAATTCTTCTTTTCATTTTTATTGAACTAATGGTATTTGTAAAAATATGTAACTAACTTTTTATATTTATAGATGTTGTTTGTCAGGTTGTAACCTATGAAGATGTTAAGACCTACAAGTAAGGAGACGATGAAAGTGTCTTTATTAATATTGTACTCGAGGATGATCAGTAAGTAATTCAAAATATAAATAATATTTTATAGATAGAGCACATATATATGTGTTTATTAACCTTACTACGAAACGTATAGGAGGAACAAGATTTTGGCAACCTTATGGAGCGAACTTGTGGATCAAATTCAACATCACTTGAATGAATCTACCGATGAGCCTTTGATCATTGTTTTCTAGCATATGAAAGCTAAAATATTTCGAGGTTTACCCTAAATTACATGTATTTTTCTATTTTACTATATAAAAATTTTATATTTCGAATTTTAATTTATAGTTCATTTGATACACAGGTAATTACTCAATGCGTAGCTGTTGGTATCAGACAAAGATATGAATAAATTCTACGTTGCCACAGTCTATTGACTTTAAATCTAGGTTTGTCAAGTGTATAGTCCTTTTTTATATGCACACAAAATATAACAATAGTATTTATAAATTATAATTTTTAACTTATGCAGATCACTCGCAGCACGTCAATTAAACATTGAGCGAATCACTCAAACAAGTTCTCGGCAAAGTTACTCTGTTAGAGATGAGTTAGACAAAGGAATTGTGCTGTTTAATACAACTAGGGATTTAATTCAGT